GATTATATTTTAATTAATTAGCTCATGATACCGAGTCAGATGATTACCAAGTCAGCTGGCTACCAAATCGTTTACCTTCCAAAAATGAATAATGTTAAACCAAACTACGGTATAAAATTTTTATGTACAACATCTTTGTTTACTATTCCTTGTTTTCCTTCACTAGTATGACGAAGACTAAACTATTAATCTCCACCAAAGCATAAAGACTATATCGACGCCACAAGTCTTTTTCGTATAAATTAGGACATCTGAAATTTCTTTTAGTGGCTTCTAATTAGCCAATGAATAGATTGCATCGGCATGATAACCATCTGAGTTGGTTATCATCTGAGTTGGTAACCATCTGACTTGGTATTATGGACTAATTAACTAAAATATAATTATTGTGTATAAGACCGATTAACTGCAATTTATATTTGTTTTCGGTGATAAATTCATTTGACGACAATAGAATCGGCGAATTTCATTTTCAGCGAAATTTCTTTCGGTGAAAATTGTTTTTCGGCGATATTCATCTTCGACGAAAAATTTTTTCGGCGAAATTGGATTAAATCATTCGGATATCTCCGTAAGGGAACGATTTTGGAAGCTGAAATTTTATGCGTTTTCATATCTCATTTGTGACTGCATACTAGCAAAATTTCATTAAAATCGATGATATAAATTAAACACATGTTCTGATGTTTGGATCAGAGACCGAAATCGAACCGATCCGAACCGAATCTGAACTGCATTTTTGAAAATATAGTCGAACCGAATCGAACCGAACTCAAACCAGCAAAACTCACTTCGATTCGGTCTTTGGTTTGAATCGTTCGTTTCGTGTAATGTTTCCCGGGAACAAGCGTACTTCTTAGTGCTTCTGTATTTTTGATGTACAGAAGTACACTTTTCCACCTCGCAACGATGCTCATGACGCTATTTTATCTATTATCACTCTTGAAACAATGCTGCACCTACTTGATCCCAATTAGTACTCCTGTCACACAGCGAGTATGAACAAAAACAATGAAATAGACATATAAATTTCTTCGAAAAGCAAGAAATTCCGCGACAGAAAGGAAGCAAAACATTAGTCAAAATTGGTTATTAGTCGAATAGAAGCATATGAAGAGAAAGGGTTTCTTTGTTTGCCTTACATCATATCGGCTCTTTTAGTTTTCCTTACGTCATATTGGTTATTTTCGTTTGATAAGTACTTCCTCCAAATTACATCTGGAAGACGTCATGTGTCATCGAATATTTTTTTCGAAGATAAAGGCAAAAAAAACACAAAATATGGCGAAAAATAAAAGTGAAAGTGGAAGAACATGGGATGTCTATAGAGATACCGATATATATAACTGAGCTACTGCTCCAGTGCTAGCAGTTTATAATTACAATAGTTATCACGATCTATCCGTATTCATACTATGACCATCACAGTAGGTGTTTATTTTGAAGCATGCATATAGTGCTAGTATTTACAACATTACGTATATAGGTTGATCGAATCAACACATATGTTCATGCAGTGCGAGTTGAACCTTGGCAATCTAGTTCAGTCGTTGCGAATTTCCACTACTTGGCTCAAGAAGGCCGATGCCTAGGTGTGAGTCCTGCCCAATTTCGAAAACTTCTCGGAAAGAATTCAACAGTCGATAATCAACTCAAAGCTGAACAACTTGCTCGAATGACCCTCGAATATGGTCTTCTTTATGATTATACCAACTCATCCATGCTCTCGACGGTTGGTCCCGATGAACTGCTTGTTCTGGTTGTGGACACTCTACAACAATTCAATTATGCGGTATTTCACAAGAAGAATATTAAAACGGGTGTTGCTCTTCGCTATGCTCTGGAAGAAGGCATTCAAGTAAGAACAGCTTTTGAACGTGCCAAAGCGCAGTTACCTGATGACTTGGCCTCGAAAATCACAATTATTAGTTGGCAGGACATGATTCAAGACAATAATGATAGTGGAAAACCATACCATGTCTATGTTGAAGCTATTGAAGCCGAAATAATGCGATGTACCCATTTTGCGAGCTACGTGACTCGTGTCTGTCAAGCCTTTGTCAATGCTCGTAAATCTGATGTTCAACTTTCGCCTAATCAATGGTCTCTTCTTCAATCGTATGTTTCTCACGAATTGCCCATTCTCATCCGAGGCGTTTATTTTAAATCAAATAACTATTCGGTCATTCTGCATCCAACTTTAATAGGATCGGAGAGTTATCATACTAAAGAGGTTGTGCAACAAAGAGAAGCCATGCAGTCATTGCTCGACTATCTTCGACACTCGAAAAATACATGGTGGAAACAAATGGATCTTCAGATAGATCATCCTGGAGCGTTGACCTTCGACATTCAACTACCTCTTACAGTGTCAAATGTGAACGAAACAATGAAAACAGTTCGACACTTATCCATTGCTTCATTATCTCCTGTTGAAGTTCCTCCATGCAGTCGTCACAACAACTTATTCTGTCACTATTTCTGCTGTACGTATCTTGTTGTTCTTCTAGTGATGCTTGTCAGTGGTGGCATGTGGTTATTCAAATATGGGACATTTATCGGGAGCATTATGTCTCTTGTAGCTATTGCTTGGGTAGTCTTATGGCATGTCATAGTGGAAAAAGGAAAGTGGAATCGTCAAGGAGCGAATTCTCTTGTTCCTGGTACATCGTTTAGATTTCCTTTCGGTGACTTATCAAGCATGCAAGCATGTCAGGATGGGTACTATCTTAACAAAATTCATCAAAATCTGGGCCGACCGAAAGCATATAGAATCTGGATGGGCCCGCAGGCTGCCTTAATGCTCTCTCATCCTGATTCTGTTCGTCAATTTTGGCAGCAACACAATGAAAAGATCATCGAGCGTGATATTAAAATGGGTTGGCCATTACTTATGCTCATGTCTCAAGGTATCGGATTCAAATCCTATGTTGACCGTAATCGAATTAACAAGTATTTTCATGGAAGTTTTGCTTCTGCTCGCATGCGTCTATTTGAGACACACATTGAAAAAACTGTGCTCTCCTATATCGATAAAAGTCTCGTTAATAAACAACATCACACCTTATTCGACATGCAACATGAACTAAAATATATAGCTCATGATGTTGGACTTCATCTCTTTTGTGGACCAAATGGAAGTGAATACCTTTCTGAACTACATGAACTTGTCGACGAACTCGAGGACTTGATGTCGATTACATTCGATGCTAAATGGCTTAACATAGACGGTATCCGTTGGTTATTGCCTGCATCTTATCGATTGCGACAACGTATTGCTGCATTTCGTGATAACTTCAAAACTATTCTGATGAAATTAATCGATCGTTCTCAGTCCGATAACGATGAAAGTGATTCAGTTCTTGCTCGTTTTATTCGCGACTCAACTGATTGTGAGATTTCTTTCGAAGAATTCATGGACACAACTATCGAAGGTTTACTAGCGCCAACCGAAGGATCAGCAGCCACATTTACCTACACACTTATTCTGCTAGCACAATATCCTCACGTTCAATCAAAACTACGTGAATCGATTCAACATTTAGGATATTCATTTAATTTAAACGATCTACACGACATCAAGTATCTTGATCATATTCTTAGTGAATGTCAACGTCTCTATCCAATATTTATGTTTAATGCGCCAGAATCAGCCAGTTGCGATATGATTATCGACAATATTTTCTTGCCGAAGAATAGCATGGTCATTCTTGATGTTATCTCACTCAATCGAAATGAAGATGTTTGGCCACAACCACTGGTATTCAAACCAGAACGATTCGAATCAATTACGGAAGAACAACGGAAAGCAGTGCATTCTTTTGGTATTGGACGTAACCGACGTTGTTTAGGGGAACATATGATCAAAGCCATCCACAAATTGTTAGTTGCTCATATTGTTCAACGGTATGAAATTCGCTTGCCAGAACCAATCGAAATCATCAAACGAAAACGTCGGCCATTTATTTATGTACCCGAACAACGTCTTCATTTTATTCCATTTTAACATTTTGAACAACTATTCATTGTACTAATAATATAGTCTCTTAATCCTTTAATATAATTCAATCCAGATTTTAATAGTTTTTATCACATATCGTTAGCGAATTTCTTTATTCTACTGACATGCATTCTCACATAGGGTGTGGGTGTGAGTGTGATTTTGGGGTGTGAATGTCGGGTATGGGTGGGTGTAGGGTGTAGGTGGAGTGTTGGTGCGAGTGCTGGTGAGAAAACGAACCATACTCACGTTCACACTCACACAGACACCCACATCTACATCCGTCGCCCATACTCATATCCACACCAATATCCACACCTACACTTACACCCCACACCCGCTCACACTTTCACCCCCACACTTACACTCCATAACCACCCATACTGGGAAGACAGAATTTCGACAATAAGAATTTCGCCATCTGAATTTCGGTAATGTCGAATTTTCGGTAGAATTTCAAATTTTTTCGAATTTCTACCGGCATTTTGACAATATTGTCGAATTTCCGTTATTATCGAAAATCTTACGGAATTATGACAATAATAATTTCCTATGTATATTTTATTGTCCAATTTCCGTCGGAAATATGACAATATATACATGTTAGCTGGAGCTGCAATGTAAAGTAGGAATGCAGTTTTCTTAGTTTTAAAGTTAACATAAAGAAAATAATTATTAACAAGAACTAGATGTTATATAATAAATAATAGTAAGTTTGTTTTCTTTAATTAACATCAGGAACAAGTAAAGACAAGAAAACAAATACAGAAAACTTATGTAGAAAAACAAAAACATTAGCAAGTGATTGAAGAAAGCAAAAAATTCAGGAAAAACATCTACATCAAAAAATATAAATTCTTTTTTTAACATAATCCACATTTTTGAAACAAAAACAATATGAACGAGCTAATTCAAAAACAATCCTAATGAGTAAAAAAATTTTAACTAATTGTAATTATCGTCGATGCCATTATTAACGGTTGTAGTATTATTAATATGATTATTTTTCTTTTTTTGTTTTGTTGCTGGTTCATCAACGAAAGATGGTAGATTTGCTATGTATTGTTTTAAATCTATTGCACCAGGTTGAAATAAACAGGACAAATCTTTGAGTTGTTTTGTTTTTTTTTCTTAAACATTCATTACCCTTGGAGAATGGCATTGCTTTATGACGATAATTGCCACTTCGTATTTGTGATGCTCACATCATTACCAATGATTCTTCACCTTTCAAGAAATGAATAAACGACCATAACTGTGGATGCATGCCAAAGCGATATTGAAGACGATTATTATAACCTAAAATGACAATAAAAATAACCCATAACATTTCGACTATAACTGTACCCTCAAAACATACTGTACCTTCTACACTACTATTACATCGAAGATGTATTGGTCCTAAATTCCAATATTTTATT